CGCTGTGCCCGAGAGCCGGTCATGCCCGCGCGGCTTCTGGTCCTGTCGCAGACGCCGGTCAGCGGAGCCCGCGCCCTCGTTCGTCTCCCGGTCACGCGCGCCCAGTCACGCACCAGCTCCGCACTGCAGCCTGGGGCTCCGGGGCTGGGGCCCTGTGCCCCGGGCTGCTGCTGTCCGCTTGCGGGACTCAGGACGGCTGCCCGGGGCGGCGGGTCGGGCTCCCGCGGGCACTTAACTTTCCCTCCCGCCAGCCCTTGGGGAGGACGAGAGCCCTGGCTGGACGGAGGCCCTGGGGCCGGCATCTGGGGAGCAGGAGCGCTGGGCCCCGGCTGCACCCCAGCCCGGCTCCTCACAGGGGCTGGTCCTGCCTGCTGGGGTCTCCTGGATGGCGCCGTGACCGGCTCCCGTCTGAAGGGGCCTCGCCACCTGCCGCACGCACGGGCGGCCCGGCCGAGCCTGGAGCCTGGGCGCCGGCTGGCTGAGCCCTCGGGGTCCCCTGGGCCAGCCCGGGCTGGCGTCCTGCACACGGGACGCCGCGAGCACCCTGGCCTGCCCTCGGCAGATGGTGCCCTCTGCGCTCCCGTCTGAAGGCTCCTTGGCTTTCCCAAACAGCAGCTGGCACAGATCGAGACTGACCTGAAGTCCCGGACGGCAGCTTACAACACCCTGAAGACGAACCTGGAGAACCTGGAGAAGAGGTCCACGTGAGTGTCCACGGCCCCGCGCCCTCCGGGCTCCGTGCAGGGGGGCGAAGAGCCCGGGGCTTGCCCGTGCCTCTGCCCTCTGCCCAGGGACGAGTGACGGCGGCCCTCCCGCGCCTCCCTCTTCCACCCTCTCGGCTGTTGAGGTCGCCTGGGGTGCACCCCAAGCCCCCTCCTGTGGAGCTTTGTGGAGGCCGCTCTCCGCATTTGCCGCGGGGGACCGTGGTCAGGCGCCTTTGGGGAGCGTGGAGGGGGGGCAGCGGCTCTGTGGCCTCGGGGACTCAGGGGCCCCGGGCACCCGCTTCCACCCTCTCGGCTGTTGAGGTCGCCTGGGGTGCACCCCAAGCCCCCTCCTGTGGAGCTTTGTGGAGGCCGCTCTCCGCATTTGCCGTGGGG